AGTGAGCCTTTCCATCTTGTCCTTGAGCACATAATTCTCATCTTCTAATTTGGCAACACAAGATAGAGAGTTAATAGTACGAGTTTACTCAATTAACAAGTTCTCATACCTTTTGACCAAACTAGCATGAGAGAACTTAAGCTTTTCATGCTTTTTGGTCAACTTCTCCAAGCATTTGATCTTGTTGATGAGAAACTCTTCTTGCTCGTGAAGGTTTTCTTCTTGCTCTTGAATTTTCTATATGAGCTTGAGCACCATCAACTTGTCTTTCTTGCTTTGACGTGCCAAGTATTGATTGAACTCATCATCATCACTTTCATCTTCACTCTCACTCTCACTTGCCACATTCTTCTCTTTCTTTGCCATGAGACCCAAATGAGGAGTGGCATAGAGAGTTGAGCTTTTTGGTGAGGTGGATTCATCATTTGGCCTCCACCGATCACAAACTTCTTCTTCCTTCAAAATGTTAGTCTCACAAAAACAAGAGGAAGTAGAAGTACCACATGTAAAAACATTGTTCTCACCAACTATTTCATTGCCTTTCGTTAGGTCATATGTTGGCGAGGAAGTGGATGTGCCATGATCACTTAGGCCTTTTGGGAGAATCACTTGAGGCTCTTCATTTGTCAGTGAAGTTGAGCACTCCTCAAATGGTTCCTCCAATGAGAGTGTCTTCTCATCATATTTGGATTTGTCATATTTTTCTTTGAGTGTGGTCCAAATGATATGAGAATCATCAAGTGGTTCATCTTCTCCAAATATGACGGCATCAAAAACATCTTGATTTAAAGCACTAAATAAGACACTAGTAGCTTGAGCATTGTGTTGTAAGCATTTTACTTCCTCTTTAGATAAGATGTTCAAATCATCACTAGAAGGTAAAATGCTCACACCTATAATCCGCTCAATATAAGGACCCATGACCCTAAAAACATCAAGCACACTAGCGGACCAAGATGCATAATTTGAGCCATCTAAGAGTAGAAGTTCTAGAGATACCTCCTCACTTGTTGACATCGTCTCTCAAGGCGATTAAGCCCTAAATTGAGAGCATAGCTCTGATACCAATTGAAAGGACCTTGATGTCGCCTAGAGTGGGGGTGAATAGGCCTATTTAAAATAAACTCACAGCAAATGTTAAATTCTAGGTACGGCACTGTTGCTCCCAAGGTGCAGCACTGCGGCACTGCCTCACTAAAATACGGCACTGCCGTGCCTGTAGACAAGCTCGAACTACAATTCAAAAACTGCCCAAAGAAAAGTAGATCAAGCAAATTATTGATGTTCCTACGGTAGTGTAGAGCCTATTCTACCACCTGGATGTCGGCAGAAGTGCACGAGCAAGTAGATCGAGACCAAACCCTAGAATCACCACAAATAAAAGTATAGCAATGCAAATTACAAGAACACGAGTGAGACACCGATTTATTCCGTGGTTCAGCTCGCCACTAAGGCTTGTCTATATCCATGTTGTTGAGGTTGCCACAAAGGCTTTGGGTCTCTTTCAACCCTTTCCTCGTTCTCAAGTCAAGAGAATGAACACTTGAGATGAGAGGTGATTTCACTAGCTGTTTGGGGTGATTATAAACCTCTCGAGGCTGCCCCACAAGTTGGCAAGCTTCACGGGCGACGCTCTAGCCGGCTAGAAGCAAGCTCCAAGAGTAACAAACACAATCTACTGGCTTAAACGCGAACCAAGTGCTCTAGGAGTTGAAGAACAGTTGGGGCTGTTCTCTAATACAGTTTGGAGGCTCAAACTCTCTTGGATTTGGAAGCGAATCAAAGGGAGAAGCTTGAGGGGCTCCAATGGTGAGTGAGGGAGAGAGAGAGAGAGGCCCCTTTCTGTTTTTGGATGAGCTAGAGTGAGCTAGAGGTTCAAGAGAGCCGTTGGGGAGAAAGAGGAAGGGTATAAATACCCCCCAGCCCTAACGGTCACTTGAGTCGCAGTAGTGCCGCTCATCAAGTGTGGCAGTGCCACACTGCAGCAGTGCCTCTCTTCAGGTGCGGCAGTGCCGCACTAGGCAAGACAGCAAGGGTAAGAGTGAAGTGTTGGTTGTCTTGGCTGTGAATCTGAGGATAGATGTGTAAGTTTGAGCACTTGGTAGCATATTTAGCTTAAGCATTATGTCCCCTTTTGTAGTACAGCTTTTTCTATATTTAAATTCAAAATATAAAAGAATTTAAACCTTCTTTGAGTTTGAAGCCATCTATATTTGTAATTGGGGGCTTCTCTGTTTCGTGTAGCATCCTCGAATGTATTGTCCTCATTCCCATTATGCCTTAAGCATGTGACTTGAACCATTTCCATATATATGAGTTCACCTTAATGGCTTCAAGTCACTTCCAATAATGATTTGATCCTCAACACAATATGACTCCTCATAGCTTGATTAGTTCCACGACTCAATACAAGTATTCTCTTCTTCGCCTTAGCCATGGTACCTCGGTCCTCAAGCCATCGCTTGCCCTTCACCTTCGCTTAGTCCCTCGAAGCTCTTTCCTTGCTATCTTCACCTTATCAAGCCATACTCAAGTCACATCATATTAAATATCCATTGAAAAATCATTTCTTCAATAGTATGATCCCTGCTTGAATATCTTCTAGATATGAATGTTGAGATCAATCAAGCTTTAGTTTGATTCACATAAAGACATATGAATCAACATCAATATGGTCAAGCCAATTCACGATTCCTTATATCCTCTTTATTTTGGCTTGACACTCCTAAAACTCATTTCAATATCTACCTTCATACTTCTAGCTTGATCAAATCAATGCAAAGTGATTTTCCAAATCTTTATCCATACAAGCAAACCAACATAGAGACCGACTTATATCCAATATAAGTTGTGTCCTTTGTCATTTAAACATTTGCTTGGTATTTCACCACTTATGCATTCTTGACTCATTCTTCAATCCTTGATCAAAGCTAATCCACTATCAAACTCCTCTTGTTCATGCAAAGCAAGCCATTATTGAGACCAATCCAAAATCATCAACTCATGTCTCTTTTAACATTTGCCAAATATGCTTACTTTCTCATGATACTATGATATTCCTCAACATAGAAGCCATTTCATCAACTCCATTTGCATTGTTGTCTTTCTCTTTAACTATATTGTTTTCGTGATCTTTCAACACAACAATACATAATTTTAGCATTGATTTGAACATTATATGGAATATCATCAAGTTTGCCTTCTTGTTGAACCTATATATACTTCTCATTTTACGGTCCACTAGTGTATGAAATAAACTTAATTTTTTGTTTAACACTTAGCAAACTTGTTAGACATTTAATGATGTTGGCATTCAATTCACCAAAACTCACTAAAGGGCTAGATGCACTTACACCACACCTGGTCGGCCCGCTGCCCGAGTCCGAGATCCGCTAGTGGGGCGTGCGTAAGGGCAAGCTCACGGCGGACCTCCTCCTCGATGAGCCGCTGCTCCACCTCCTTGCGGCTCGCCATGGAAGGGCCCGGCTACATGGGAGCGGGGACTTTCAGAACCTGCAAGTCTGGGTCTCGATCTTTGGATTGAAGGGCGCTTACCTTGCGGTGGTGTGAAGCATTGGTCGGAGGGAGGGTGGCGCGACCTGCAGTCGGCGTGGAAGCCAAACTCCATGGCTGGTCCAACTGTTGTGGCTCCGAGCTCCAGGCGCCCCGCCTCAATGTCGCGCGGCCAGGCCAACAAGTGAGATCCCACGTGGGCCTTCCTATCTAGAGCCGCGCACGCCAAGAAAAGGCAGTAATTGCTTGCGTGCTTCCGCTCAGCAGGGAGGTAGCAGAAGCTGGAACCGGTGGTGTGGATGGGGTGCGAGGATGGCTCGACGACGACAGAGCAATGGGGATGGAAGGAGAAGAAAGGGGCAAAATATTCACCCATTAATTAGAGTATCAAACAGCCCTAACTAAACTTTATCTAGCTAAAATCTAGCCAGTCAAGTTAGCTGGCTAAAGTTTAGATAGGGCAGATCTAAACCGGGCCTCAGTAGGTCCCACTCATCCCTGTCATCAGTACCTTGAGATTTTTTCCTGTGTGCCATTATAAAATATCGTAATCCCCTGTGTGCCTCTAGAAAAATTCAGCGGTCTTCAGCGTCACTACTCCAACTTTTTCGGGTCCTCCATGCCACTTCCGTCAGTTCAGGCTCTAACGCCGTTAAACTGCAGGTGTAAAAAGACAAAAATGCCCTTAAGTTCAAATATGTTATTAATTTTTTTGAGCATTTTAACGACTTCAAATGAAAAAACTCAAAACTAGAAAGTTGTAGATCTCGTCAAGATCTATAATTTTCATATAAAAATTATTTTCATTTAATTCCGAAAAAAAATGATTTGATATGATTAATATATCTTAGAAAAACCATCATATTTTTTTGCGAAATTAAATAAAAATAATTTTTATATGAAAATTATAGATCTCGACGAGATCTACGACTTTCTAGTTTTGATTTTTTTCATTTGAAGTCGTTAAGATGCTCAAAAAAAAATTAATAACATATTTGAACTTAAGGGCATTTTTGTCTTTTCATACCTGCAGTTTGATGATGTTAGAGCCTGAACTGATGGAAGGGACCCGAAAAAGTTAAAGCAGTGACGTTGAAGATCGCTGAATTTTTTCAGGGGCACACAAGTTTATAACGGCACACGGGGAAAAGTCTCCAGTACCTTCTGACTTCTGTTCATCTGCCAAATGCAAAGCAAGGCCGTAAAAAAATTCCAAAGCAAGGCCGTGTGAAAAAAAAAAATCCAAAGCAGGCAGCAGCAGTAGATGGAGCAGAGGTGGTGACTGGGCGGCGACGGCTGGGCGAGCGGCGCGACCCTTGCCCAGGTATTCGTCGGTCGGCCCCTTCATCGGCGACGAGCATCCACCTGGTAATCCCCCTCCTTTCGCTTCCCCTGTGCGAAATCGAGCCGCCCCAAATCCGCACTAAGCTATTCCTATTTCGATTTTTCCCCTCAAATAGTGGATCCGCCCCTGCCCCCATGCCCCCATGCCCCAGGTCGAGTCGGCCACTGCCTCGGAGAGGCCGCCGCCGCAGGACGCATGGGTCGTCGAGCTCCGCAGTCTCCTTCCGCAGTGGGAGTCGCTGCGGGATTCCTCCAAGGTACAGATGCCCCTGTTTCTCTCCCCGCCCGCCCCCCTAGGGTTTGTTCTGTTGTATGGCGCTTTGAGATGCCACATAGTTTCTGGTTTTATGAGATGTGGAGTGATGGAGCCTCGAAATCCCTCACGAGCATATGGAATTTTAGTTTCTCCGAGGGTGAAGTCAACTAATTTCATGATGCTAATCGTTGTTAGTTTTGCTGTTGTGTGTTATGCTTTTGCTTATGCAGTACATGTATGGGGAATGTCTTGAGCACTTGGAAGCATATTTAGTTGTGACGATTGATAGTTCTGGTGTCGCTGTCGGTTCTTAGCTCTTCATTTTGCTAATACGAAACGCTTAGCGGTTCTTAAATCAAAGAGAAATTTTGTGATCCGTCTCTCAGAACTGGCACAATAACGATACTTGCAGGCACGTAGCACGGTTAATGTGGAATGTAACGCCACTTTTTTCTTATGCAGGTCATTATCCCGATTTCAATATCTAGGGTGAACCAGTTTGATGCTGCAAGGCTAGATGTCGGCCATGTTGAAAGAGCAGCTAGTCAAAGTGTTCTCCTTGATGAAGGTGCTTTCTTTATTAACTATGCTGATTTTTCTGTTGCTTGAAGCTTGCACAGAACTTAAGCGCAACTGCTAATTGCTACTTTTAGTTTTGATGCTTGTTCTTCATATCAGCCAGGACTCTTATTCCAATATGAGCCTGAACTTGATGCTTTCCTCGAGTTCCTCATCTGGAGGTTCTCAATTTGGGTTGACAAGCCAACCCCAGGCAATGCACTGATGAACCTGAGGTATAGAGATGAGCGGGCAGCACCCATCACTGGAAAGGAAGGTACTTCTATCAAAGTTTATCTCAATATTTTTTCTAACTTGTTTTTTTCTCCTACCTATCATGCTGGACTGATTATAGCTAACCAACTGAGATGGTTGGTCTTAGTGAACATTTGGAGACATAAAGCACATCATTTTGCGTGTTTCCTCTACATTAGAATACCCTTTGCTTACATACTTTAGTTGAGGATCCTAGTATGTTAAAGTTGGCTGATCCTAGCTCTTGTAGGTCTAACTTTGTATGCAGAAGCTGGATCTACAGTTATGCTAATTCACTGTCCTTTTAGTTTTAGTTAAAAAAAATATTTTGTCTTCAAATGCATGGTGACCTTTTTGCAATTTATTCTAATTCGAAATTTTCAAATCACCACAGATCGAAGTTTTGAAAGCATGCTCCCAATAAATCTTTGGATCAGATAGTGTAGTTTACTAAAAATTATTTTGTTTGAAAATTCTCCAGTTACTGCCATGTTGCTGTTTTAGCTAAGAAATTTATTTTGGAACAGGGTGATATTTTCCTTATCTTGATAATTGTAAGCTTTTTTATGATGTTCCCCACCTCATGGTATGTTCATTATGAATTTTGTGCCCTATTGAGTAAATGAGTAGAACACTTTACACTTTTAATCCAATGGTTGCTGGTACAAATACCTAATACAAATACACAGTAGAATGAAATATTGAGTTGTGATCATCTTGTTTGGTGTGGAACCACTTTCAGATATTTTTATTATTGTTTAGCTTTTTTCCCTAAACAATATTGCTACTAGGTTGTTTTCTTGATATATGAGGGGAAATAGGGAAGTAATAACTATTGGATTACATAATCGAGCTGTTCGGCTGATGGTTTTTGCGGCTGATAAGCCGGCTGATGCTGTTTTGTTGTGAGAGAAAAACACTGTACCATGGCTGATAAGCCGGGCTGATAAGTCTCTTGTGTGTTTGCCAGTTAGGTCTGGTTTGAGTTTTTTCCTGAAATTTTGTCTTCAGGATATTTCTCAGCCAGACACTACTGGTTTCTCTGGTGGTGTTGCTCTCTGAAGTAGGTCGACAAACAGCACAGAAAGGGCCTGCTTGCCATTCTTGTTGCTTGGGAAATTTGGAAACACATGGATGCGTTCTTTTTGTGTGTGTGTGGAGGGGGGTCTCCTAGTGCTAGTGGTGTTGTTAGGACAATAACAGAGGACTCCGCTCTGTTGTGTGCATCCAGACCTTTTGAGCTCTTAAGTTTCTCCTTTGGTGGTGTGTTTTTTAGCGCTTGGTGTGTCCTTACGTTTTGATGTTTTGAACTGGTTCTGTACCATATTTTTCTTCTTTAGTGGTATGCAGCTCTCCAGCGTATTTTTGAGAATTAATTTAGTAAACTATAATCTGATTTATCAATCAGTATGCTGGATCTTATGATGACTGCTTTCCACAGCCATTTTAGCAAACATGCATTGCAGCACAGCGCAACAATCAGAATTTGGTTAGCAATGAAACAAGTTGGGTCTCATGGACGTGGGCCTAATGCCAGCCACTGCCAGGAGGCATAGGATGTGCATTGTTTTTCTTACTGTTGCATAATTAGAAAATTACTTGTTTATCTCATAATCTGTTAGTTTGTTATTACTCATGATTAGTTGCGTATCTTTATTATTATAAAAAAGTTGCATATGTTTAGTATTCTTTGTTTCTGGATATGTTCCTTATTATTCAAGTCTTCCACCATCTACAAAAAGGATAGGACTGTCACAATGTATCCTTTATGTTCAAACAATGAAATGACTAACCATCTGCATTCGCTTGTCTAAAGTTTTCTTCATCTATGCCCATCCTCTTCTGTTCTAGTGTCTTGTCCCCTCAATATGTACCCTTCTGCTCCCATTATCCATGATTTTAACCATTCAGCAGCTCAATTTATCATATTTACATGAACACATCAAATTACAGCTTGGTTGGAGCTTGCTTTTTTTTGCATTGCATGCTATAGGCATTCTGCTGGGTTTCAACTCTAGCCTACCCCAACTTGTTTGGGACTTAAAGGCTTTGTTGTTGTTGTTGTTGTTGTTGTTGCTATAGGCATTCTCTTTGTCTTTATAAAAGCAAAAGTTGAAGTTAACTCTGCAATTGAACTGAACCACACCATGGTTATCTTAGCCACATTAGCTCATTTGTAACATCCCTAAGAGTTTATTTGATACCGGTTTGTGTTGTTTGCTACTGATATGTAGATGAGTATTATCTGAGCGACATCTAATGGATTATATTTGCTTTTCAGTTAGAACGGGCTTGGAAGGACCTGGGCTTTCTGTTTCTCAAAAGATATTTTATTGTATTAGCTTTGTTGGTGGCCAATATATATGGTCACGATTACAGTCTTTTTCTGCTTTCCGTCGATGGGGCGATTCTGAACAGGTAACCTGACTCCTTCCTGAAAACTTACAATTCCAATTCACTGGTATTAGTGTAACTTAATATTAATATTTCTATTTCATGATGTAGAGACCACTAGCACGCCGTGCTTGGGCATTAATGCAGAATGCTGAAGTATTGTATAGGGCTGCTTCATTCTTTAACCTATTATTGTTTCTTTATGGTGGAAGGTACCTTCCTATTCCTGTTTAATTATGGCCCTTTCTTGTATCATGAGGATGGTAGAAATTATTCATGATTATCATGGCTGTAGCAGGTGGCGCCTAGTTTGGCAAAGTTAACTATCTATCTAGATTCTAGAGATTGAGTATTGCCAACTTGTGCAGCATGTACTGTCCACTGATAGGAAATTGACCAATGACAGTGTATTTGAATGAGTTAGACAGCATAATTTGTGGGAAAATTGAAAGCTACTCTTTTTTAATAGATTATCATCCTGTTCACTTTTTTAATTATTATGAAGTTTATATGACACACACATGCTTTTCATCCTTGCTTATTTGTTTATAAAGGTACAAAACTATTGTAGAAAGGATTCTGAAGGCAAGACTTGTTTATGGGAGCCCCAACATGAATAGAGCTGTTAGCTTTGAGTACATGAATCGCCAGCTGGTCTGGAATGAGTTTTCGGTAAATCTCTTTCTTACAGTCCTGTTATTAATCTAAAAAGTTTCTATCTTATGCAATTATTGATTTTACAGTTTGATCTGTGCTTTTGATTGCATATATACTGATATAATGTAACCTTTCTAGCCAATATGGATCACATATATTCTTGATAGATGATACACCTATCTGGTTTCTGAATAATTGGTTCTCTGATATCCTCCAATATCTGACATCGTAGATCGCATATGTTTGTGTATGACACTAAATCTAGTTTGTATTCACTCCAGCCAGATTCTAGGATGCAAACATGGGAGGTAGTGGTTTTTGCGGCTGATAAGCCGGCTGATGCTGTTTTGTTGTGAGAGAAAAACACTGTACCATGGCTGATAAGTTCAAGTGAACAGGGCTGCAAGTCAACAAATCTCTATGATAAATCCTTAGAATGATATTTTTTACCAAGTCAAAAATGTTGCATTGTTATCATGATTCAAATGCAGCTTGCATGACTCTGGTGTCATAATATATCCTACATGATAAATTCCTTGTAGTCTGATTCTGTTGATTTGATCTATGTTCAGTGAAATGCACTCAGGACTATCTAGTTTGACACTTGATAATAACAGATTGGTAATGTGATTCTTAATAGAGTGCACTGGGGGCTGCTGTGCAGGTTTCTCTAGGTGTTTCTGAGATTGTCCACAAATACATTGGTGTGGGATTTTGGTATAACTGAAAACCCTGAAATGTGCTATTTAAGGATAAATAAAATGAAATTTTCCTCTATGATGCATCTGAAAACTTGGACACGGGTGAGTTATCTAATGTACAAGATCATAATATTTGCCTAATAGAATGTAAGTAAACATGGGCTGGGTCTATTCTGATCATCTCATGAATGACAAGTTAAAAATCAATGGATTTATCTCTACTCTTTAAGCTCAAGTTTTATTCAGTCTGAAATTTGATTACGTTCTCGAGAAACTTACTGTGAAGCACACTCGAGATTAGTCTTATGGTCTATGGCCATTGCTGATATTGTACTCTGGGGAACTCTGTTGTCACTTAGGAGGGGATTTTCCCTGTGTTTAAATTGGTGTTTGTGCTAGTGTCTCAAGATTTTATTTTGATGTACTGCCAGTAGATTTAGTTCTTGGAATCTTGAACTTGAAGTGGTGCCTCACACCGCTTAATTGTGCAGGAAATGTTGCTTTTGCTTCTTCCCCTCCTGAACTCATCCTCAGTAAAGAAGTTCCTTCTCCCCTTCTCCAAAGATAAGTCGGCAGGTTCTTCTGGTGATGAAGCAGACTGTCCTATATGTCGGTCCAGTCCTAGCATTCCATTTATTGCTCTTCCATGTCAACACAGGTATGCCGTTTCTTTCTGTGCTCCGCCTGTCATATATCTCCCTTTGTGGTATACTCCCTTTGTAGATTCCATCCTACATTTTGCAGAACAAAGAAGCACGTTAGAAAAGCCATGTTCTTATAGCCCTTATAGATTAAGGGCACGTTTGGTTCCCAAGTTATCCCTTGCCTTGCCTTGCTCGGCCAGAAAGCGTTTGGATTGCATGTGAGACTATCTCAGGGTCTGCGCCGGCAAGGATTTTCCTTGCTCACGAGGGAGAGTGAGTTTAGCTCGCCTGCACTGGAAAGACTTGCCTTGATGGGTGAGGTGCGGCGAGCAGAACCAGCAAGAGAACCAAACTTTCTCTAACATCTGGGATGGTGTTTATTACTCTAGTTCACTGTAGTATAGTATATAGCCTTGGAAACATCTATATGATCATTCAATGAGAAAGACATATATAAGGAAAAGCAGTTGCATAGTCATCTCCAAATTGTAGACTGTAGGATCATTTTCTGGCTTTCTAGGCAACTGCTATAATCATAATTCACTTGAATATCTATTCCTTTTTTGATAGGAAAACCCTGCTTTTAGAGAAAGCATAATGAAAATATCTATTTTTTCTGATAAAAACAAAGCATGAAAAGTCATACTTTCTGTATTAGTTGTACACATGCTAGGTGAATATGCTATATAGCTATTTTGCATGTTTGTTCCGATAAGATGGTTTCAAAGCGACTTAATGTCTTGACTGTTATAGTATCTAAGCTTTGTTGTGTTGAAATTTGCCTCAGACAAATTCTATGTTGTTTTCAGGTATTGCTACTATTGCCTACGCACGCGTTGTTCTGCTACAAATTCATATAGATGCACACGTTGTAACGAGGTGGTTGTTGCAATTCAAAGATTAGGATCAGGTTAGTTTGCTAGTTGGGTTAAAGATAATAGTTCTCGCCCATGTCTACAGAGAAACAGCACTTTGGTCTTTCATACAGTTAGAACTTAGAAGTTTCGATGCTCCATCAAGGATGGGCATCATGAAATGTACATGTAATTGCCCAAAGTGTGGACAGTTTTGATACCATGAATTACTTTTTCTATATTGAATGAATGTCTGTCACAGAACTAACACAGATTCACTACGAACTCATGAGGATTTCTCTACTACTAATCATGATATATGTTTTGTTTGAATGAGTGTGTTTTCAATATGTGTTTAATTGAAACCTTTGCTTAGGTTATGTTGGCTATGAGTGCAAGCCATGTGTTGTGATGTCATAAATCTACATTTCAGTTTTCAATTTTCTGAACTAATTATTTGTGATTTCTAATCCAGACGTTAAAAATGTAGTGTTTGTTACACCTTTTATTCAAAATGCTTCCTTTTTATTTCATTAAAACAAATGATTCTAGGACCAATGCTGCACTATTTAGTCTAAATTACAATTGCAAAAATAATTGCTTCAGCCTGCACCGCAGTGCGCAAGATGTCGATATTTCTCTATCAAAGAATTGTGTATGTTGTAATATATTTATAGAATAATAGTGATTATATTTATGTAGATATATGTTATAATGTTTTTAGTCATAATGCATAAATTCTATAAAGTAACAATGTACTGATTTGTTGTTTCTTCTAGGGTACATTTATCATGGATGCTAAACTATAGAAATATATATGTATTGCTCATTCATGTATGTATATTTGGTATGCTTGGTGTGGCATTCAATTTGTATACGTACGTGGAGTTAGTTTTTTATATAATTATAGTGATAGAACTTGGTAGTTTAGAAACAAACTTATACATATTTTATTATGGTTAATGTTTTGAGATAGTAGATGTTGGCAATTTAGATATAGACTTGAGGGGATGTTTATTTTATTTTTAATAATACTAGATATGATTAATTTGGATGGAAACTTTAGGCGTTACTTAGATTATTTTTGTTTAAAAGACATGATAATTCACATGCAAAAATGAGGTTGCTCAATATTATGTAAGATTCACGAGCGGTCTCTCAACATGCACAATGATGCAACATTTGAATTCTAATCTTTGAGCCCTTGAATTCATACGACGGTGTTTTATCCAACCATTGACAATTAGGTCCCTAAACTTGTACAACATTGTTGTCTAGGTTCCCGAACTTGTCTTGGATGCCAGCATTGGTCTAAACTGGCTCTAAACCGCTCTATCCAAGAGAAGTCCAGGGACCTAGATAATGCTTTATTTCAAGTCCAGAGACCCAAATATTAAAATTTGAGAGCCAGTGTCCTAAATAACACCATAATGCAAGTTTAGGGACTGCCGGTGAATTTCATGAATAATATTGTTTTTCAGAATGACAGATTTTATAATTTTACAAATTAAAATGTAGCCTTGTTAGGGGTACTTTATGTATTTTTCTATAACGGTAGAGGTTGATATTTTAAAAAATGGAATACATTAATGCCTCTTATTATCAATATTAATGATGATCGGATGTTTCTGATTTTTATGAGAATTTTTTAAATTTATCTTTTTCTTGGCGTTGCCTCCTCTGATTAATAATATTATTATAAGTTTTACTTATACTAATTTGATAGCTACGGCGTGAGCGACAGGGGAATGAACGAGCCCACACAAAATCCAATTAGGCTGCTGCCTGGACGTGTCTGAATTAAACCATGTCTGTCTGTTAATGTGACAGGGACTCTGCACCTGAGTGCGTTGGGATGTGCTTGCTTAGCTGCATTAGGGTGGGTGGCACGTCTCCTTGCAGACTTGCCTGTCCAACGCATTAGCTGCTACCTATATCTATCTAACTAGCTGTACTACCAGCACCAATATTAGCTTTTCTTTTCCTTTAAATCATTTTCATCGCATGCTTTCTGATGATAGCTGAACTAATCCCAGAAGGATTGTGATGCCATTTTTGAAACTCAAGTATATATATCAGTGATATACATATGTCGATATATGATACATGTAATAATAATCAACCAGAAGTCAGCTAGCTAGCTACCATAAGTCACCTTGATCACAGTTTCAGCTTACATTTCAGTAAAGTAAGCAATAATACAACAATTGTGCATTTTCAGTAAAGTTAAAGCAAACTAGACCTTCGCTCGATCACAAGAACAAATAAAAAAATTTACAACCATCTACTACATCATCATGCAAACAAGCTTAATTAACATGATGATGCCTGTCTCTATAATGCAAACAGCAGAAGCTTGTGACTGATACAACAAAACCTTAGGAAAACTGCATCATACATCAATCTGTCATCGTATTTACTCGAAGTTACAAGCCATGCATGCATGCATGGCGCCCAAGAAATCTTTAGATAACCGGGAGCAAAAACAGCGAAGCAAAAAGAAACTGAAATCGATCGAGGACGAATTGAAGATTTGAATGAAGCTGAATTAAAGGAACCAACCTGACAACACGTGCCGTTAATCGTGTGTGTATGTATGTAGTCTGACGATCCCGTGCGTGGGCGTGATGATCAGATCAGCACGCGTAGAGCTGGGCCAGCTCCCTCATGGCGTCGTCGTCGCCCTCGCCGTGGAGGTCGACGGCGTTGTCCAGCATCCACAGCAGGTGGTCGAACAGCACCACCTCGCAGTTGACGGCGATGGGCTGGTCCTTGTGCCGCCCGTCGTCGATGAGCGCGGCGATCAGCGGGTGGCTGAGGTGCTCCGCGCTGATCACGTACCGCCGCCGCGAGCTGCCCACCAACACTGCCACCGCGCCGCTGCCCACAGACGCGCGACGGCCGCCGCCGCGTCGTAGTCGGCATCGGCGGCGCCGTCGACGACTGCCGCGGTGGCGTCCCGGGTGGACATGGACCGGAGGCTGCTGTACGAGTACGACGACGCGCTCGGCCGCCCTGCTACCCATGACAGGCTCTTGCACTTGCGCAGCACCACGTTCCTGAACCTGTTCATCGATCTGATATGCACAGTTGCACACAGCTTCACCGGCGGCCAAAACACGCCTAGCTACAGCCACACGCACGAAACTCCGAAACGGCAGGAATTTCACATGAATCGGTTCAATTTCCGCGGCGGCAGGACAGCGAGGAAAGTGCTCGGGTTTGAAACAGAGCTATCATTTGGCACGGACGACATGGCAGTTCAAGTGTGCAATTGTGCAAATGCATGCGTAGGGCGCTTATAACGTGTGCGTATGTGGGTGTGGGTGGCACACGTCGTGGTTGGTTGGGTTGTGACAGGCGAGGACATTGGTTAGCTACCGACCTATCTCTCGCTGTACTCTGATCGGTTTCAGAAGGCTAGGGTTGGAAGTTGGATGGACAATTGGACATGCAATAGTTGTTCGGATGGTTGTTTTGCTTCAGCGGCTTTCGTTCAGGTGGTTTTCTGTTTTCAGAGCTGGGGAGGAAGAGTTGGAGTTGTGGTCCGTCTTGGGCTGCATCTTGTAAAAAACTTTTTGTAAAGTTTTTTTTATTTTTATCGTCTAATAAAATCTACGGCAAAGCTTTTGCCATCCTTTAAATTGTTTTTGGACATGCAAGTCCACACACTCAAGGACTCAACAGCTGCAGGTTGCAGAACCGGGAACTGCATGCTGTTAGCGTGCCGTGTAGATACTGTATGTCTCAAAGATTTGCATAGGCCCTTTGCATGCATGCCAGGCAGAAGCATGCATGCAATGCAATAATGCTAATGGAGGGTCAGAGAGGGATGATGCAGTTCGTGCACCAGCAGCTGGGTGTTGTAGTCTTGTGGATATGCTCAGATTTGATTTGCAGTTGGTTGCGTGTCCTGCACTCCTGCTTGCATGATTATTAGGGCCGGGGGTTTGGCATCATATTGCGCAGATGCCAAGCTTTTCTTGATTCGCAGTTTCTTCCGAGAGAGAGAGAGAGAGAGAGAGAGAGAGGGATCGGACGAATGAAAGTGGTATAAAAGTGCGTGAGAGCGACTTTGCAAGAGCTTAGAGCATGATTATTCGTTCGTCAAATAAGGCTCCACCGGACGATCAGTCACAGTAGAATCCACGAACAGTCTCTAAACTTGCACATCGGTGTCATCCGGATCCCAATTCTGAACAGTGGCGGGCTAGCACATGCCCGATAACAGAATTAAATTGCATGGATCCGGGGTCAAATATCTTCGTCCTGTTCACTTGGCTTATAAGCAGTATCTTTTCCATCAACGAAAGCCAACAGTACTTTCAGCTATGCTTATCACAAGTGAACTGGGCACTTATATGAACCCCTACGGCCGACAGCGGGCACTGGGCTTGTGTGACGTCCCACGTCGGGCTGGCGCAAAACATGGGCCCTTTTTTTTTTTTTGGGGGGGTTAATCGATTTGTAGACAGTCTATGCTTTCAACAGCCCCTGCAGATGCTTTATTTCACTGTTAAAGAGCGTTTGTGCCGCAGTACTGTAGGAGTACAGCGAGGAGGTAAGGTCACAAGACGAACAAAGCCTAAGGCATTTGTAATAAGCCAAAGGCTCCACTCAATATATATACATCCTAAAATATAGATCATGTTTGCGCTAGAACTTCACTATCTTATTAGCGCCACTCCTTCAGAGTCAGGCGAAGAAAAAGGAGATGATTATTACCAGGGTTCTAGGATTTGGTCTGAAACGACGATTGATTTTCATTCGTCTCGGTGAGGCCTGAAACATCATCATATATAGCGGTCAAAAGTTTTGGCAAAACTCAAATGTCTAGTCTTCTGGAGTTCAAACAAATCCACAACTTATTCCTTCAATATAAATATAATGTGCAAATGTATGAAATTATGATCCATTCATTTTCTATCCGTACGCCTTTATCAGATTTGGCCAAAATTCATACACATATTAGCTAAATTTGAACATTTTGACCGGTCAAGCATGTGAATCATGACCGATAATTTCCTGAGTCTCCATCACTTGTTTCAGGTTTGAATTTTTTTTGCCATTTGAATCCCACAACCCTGATTATTACAGCCTTGACGCACTTAACTGTTGGTGATCAAAAGTTATTCAACTCAAGTCTAGAACCTAAAAACCCAAGGGGCACAAAGCTCATGGAAATTGTAGAGGTTCATGTCCAAGCAATGCAAATTACATATAGATAAATTATAAGTTAGACCAAACACACTCAGGGCCGACACTGCTAGGATTATTGAACGATATATGGCGAGTCCGAGTGGCTCCTTGCATTGAGACAACAGCCCTCAAGGTGAAGCCGCCGACCCGGGTTAGATCCCCAACAGCGTTGGCAGTTGGCACCGGGAGGTCCCTCTCCCTCCGTCGGCCTTCTTCCTTTTGAGAAAAAAGGGACGACCAGACAAACACACACCTCAAGGGCGGTGTGACGCACACGTCGGTATATGGTCGATTCCGACAGTTAACCCATTTCAGCCCGAATGCTCGAGAGACACTAGCTCCCATCCGGATGCCCGCACCGCTGTCCCCTCCCCCCTCTCCGGTCCCACATCCCACGCCTGCCCGCCCATGTCTCAGGTGCTGCGCCCGCCAGCAAGCACGTCGGGCCGCCCGCACCAGTGGGAACCGCCTCTGTTTGCACTCGTTTCCCGCGCCTGACACCGAGGTGAGACAACAGAAAGGCGAGGGAGATGTAACACCCGATCTAGTTTTGAAACATCCAGATGCAACAATTGCAACATACGTCTGAAAACAAATGAAACATGAGTCTGAAACACTTGCAAAAACACCTAAACAACACTTGAAACCATTGTAAACATATACAACATCCCAGATATATGCAACATTCAGAATTCCACATAAGCACACTTGCAACATACGTAAAAAAACAGATAAAACATTGAGAACAGGAGCTTGCAACATACGAGTACAACCATTGCAACATATACAACATCCCAATCTATTTTTGCAACATCCGTATGAAACAATTGAAAAATAGATATGAAACATCTGAAACACTTAAAGCATGCGTTTGCAACATGGGGGAGGCCGGTGCCGGTCAATTCCAGCCGTCGGGGTTGGAGCCGGTGGCGAGCAGCGGCGCACGAGCACCCAGCACCAGCCGCGCGCGCGAGCACCACCACCAGCCAGCACCACTAGCACAGGGCTTGGCTTGGCTGGGCGGGCAGGAGCGCGATGGGTGGAGCAAGCACCACCAGCACCAGGGCCAGCGATGGGAGGGAGTCCGCCATGGGCAGACGGCGTGGTGGAGGCAGTCACTGCGCAACCACGGTGGAAGCGGCCGTTCGAAACACTCTAGACTACGAGTTTGGGAGGCTGCTTGGGCCGGTTGGCAGGCCCATTAAACAAGCGCTCGGGTTTAAGCGTTTCCGTTCGCTGAAGCACAGGCCCATCGACCTTCCCGCCGATGCATTCCTCGGACGTGCTCACACTCAAATCGCCAGGCCTCCACCGGACTTTGCACATTGATGATATGGACACAGGATCGGATCGGATGACTATAAACTCCCAGTTCAAGCTAGTAAAGCGCTGCGTCGTCATAGCGGTTCTCTCAAGGTAATTTGCAAACTGTGCAATCAACAGGAGATGTTGCATATGCTTTGCCATGAATTTACGGAAGGGACAGAAAGAGCCCGTCTATTAATCTGGTGGGCTGGCTATACTGCTGCTGGTGGGCTGGCCCAGACTAACAAATTGTTCCGAAATTGAATAGTACTCTGGACTATAACTATATAAGCCGTCATGGCTCAAGCCTGCCTCCAGGGGGAAAAACATAATCTGAACCAAGAAAAGGAGCAAATAAAATAAAATAAATAAATGTAACTGATGTAACTGATAAATTCGCAATGATCCTTTTAACAAAATTTGGCATTCCAGAAAGGGCCAGAACCTAGTGATGACTGTCAGTCAAGTGAAATGGTATAACACAAATTTAGTTATGCTAATGCATAAATTAACTTGTTTTTGTTTGTTAGTGCAGAGTGCACAAACTGTTTGTCAGGTTACTAACCTACTACTGGATGTTACTGGCTGCCAAGGTTAGTTTATTTTGCTTTCAGGCCCTTTGAAGCAAGGTATTACACAAATAAAATGTAACCAGGCTCTAGGCATCATAGAACTAGTACTTAGACCTCCATTAGACCAGTTGGCAGGCAATCAGGCATGTTTGCTCATGGACACAAATAAACTTCGAAAATCTTACACCAAGGATCCTCTCTACTCAGAAGGGCAAATGAATGACAGGGCTCGCACAAGCACCAGATGCAATCGATAGAAGAGCTCGCATTAATAGCTATATTATCAGGTTTTCTTAAACATACATTACATCCATTTGTCAAAGTTTCATATGTACAAATTTAAGAGCTTACGACAGTTCACATGGGTACCTAAGTGCCTCCATTGCATGTCGAGTTCCTGATTATGGCATAGAGGGGAACCAAAAACAAAACAGAACACAGGTGCCAGGAGTAGCGATGATTGTCTTGCACGATGATGATCTTACACCATCAGACAGATGTTGTCACCTTGGTCCTGTCCAATGTGTCAAAAGAGCAAGCAAAACACAGGTTATATTGCTACATGAAAACCATCAAAGTAAATAATATTGCAAGTCGACGAATGGTCTAGCATAGAGTCACCATATGGTCATGCTGACACAAAAATATCCACTCTGTTTGGAGATACAAATGTGAAGTTTATGGACTATGCATAGGTTTGGTAACTACTTAATTCATTCATTTCAACAAATGCTAGCTACAGATTACATAGTACACTAAAAATGGTCACAAGAAAATTACTTGTAATTTGTAAATGACAGATGTGCTTATTAAACAAGATCGTTTCAGAAAATACGAAAAATCCATGTCCATATCTCACAAATGTCATTCACCACTAAGCTTGTGTAGAAACTAGACCAAAGAAAAACACATATATTGCATATAGATCAAAATGTCATACCCATTATGAATTGGTTTCTTAAGGCTAGCAAATATGCATCCATAGGCAATTAATCTCTCCATGTGTTCACTTATAGATATGTGAAAGTATGGCTATGATCAAGTACCATTATATTCTAATTGACTATGGTGTCATTCAAAAGAAAATCCAAGGTGATCACACAGATGGTGTGTTAATTAAAGATAAAAAAAGTCTGAACTTACTAAAACCTGAAATTACAAGTGAAAAATAACGTTGGTTACAATTAGAACAGTTAGCTTTTCTTCACTATAGTATTTCAAAGAATATGTATAACAGTCCCCAATTTGACTAGCTTTACAAAATCGAAACAAGGGTCAAAATAAACGTATTTTGACCAAAGGAAAAGTGAAGTTTTACAAATTTGGACCGACAATTAGTCAAATTATATGCAAGTTTAGGGATAAAACTTGCACCAATATATTTGTATTTCAAGTGTCTCTAGATGATATTGATTTTTTAGTAATTGGCAACATATTGTAAGAGAAATTAAGGTCAAAATCTACTTTGTATGACTTTTCCCTGGTCTAAAACTCTAAATGCGCCTAACATTTCTGGACGGAGCTGAAACGAACCGTCAGCTTGCAGAAGTGCTACTTGATGATAAAGATAAAGGTGGACACGAGATAATTCAGAAGCAAACAAGGAAGGCTCTCACCATTTCATATACTTGGCGGTGACAGCGGTGGTGGGAAGCTTGCATACAGGTGAGCATGACAAATGTGGTGATCAGACACGCACAGCCTCTCAATCAACAATGTCTTGAGCTCCAGTGTGAAATACAGAGCTTCTGGTTGATGCTGGGACGAATCCCATGGAAAAGCCTTCAAGAGTAAGTAGCCATCAGCCGCGCCTTTGATGTACCAGCAATACTCAGGCTCAGGCAAAGGGATGATCTGGTGCTGCCATTTCTCCGGCCCAAAACCATTGTTCCGCCATGTCCTGCAGTGAAGCGCTAGAGTGTGCCTCCAGTAATCGAGCGCTATCACGCAGAGCCTGTCTTCCCCTGCATCACCAATGGCCAGCCCTTGGTGCTGGGTGACTTGGATACGCGGGAGCTCAACCAGCGACAATTTCATGTCGTCACGCGGGTCAAGCACAAGCGTGTAGCCGTCCCAACCATTCACCCAGTAGAAGCAGCCGCAGGCATAGTAGCGCACCAACACTTTGGGGTCCTTAATCGCCCGATGGGGTAGGAAGCTGATGGAGGTGAGACGAGACCAATCCCCGGTGACCGAAGAGAAGACGAAGATCACAGCGCTGTACCATGACCGCACGCTGCAGAGCACCTGGAACGACGGCTCGTCCTTCTCCTCCCCCGAATCCGGCGCGAGGAAACGCTCGAATTCGACGCTGTCATGGTACGGCGCAAAGGGACAGGAAGAGGACAGCAGATCGCCGGGGATACGGGGGATCTGGACGTACCGGCGGTGCAAGGGGTCGCACGCCGCGAGGTCCGCGAAGGCGGCGGCGGAAGCGGAGACGCTCCGCGAGAGGAGGACGCGGCCATCGCGGGCGTCACAGACGCGCCAGCTGCCGGCGGGGCTGGGGAGGAAGGAGAAGCTGAAGTCAACGGCCTGCGCGACGGCGCGCGCGCGGAGGAGCGGACCCGTACGGCGGCTCGGCCTGGTGGAACCCTCCCTGCCCCTGTGCTCGAGGAACCCGAGCAGGGGCGGAGGGTGGAGGCGGGGTTGGAGGAACCGGCGGAGGAAGCGGCGCCCGGAGGCGACGCGGCGGGAAGGAGGCGCATACGGCGGCGGCGCGCGCGAGGTCGGATGGGGTGGTGAGGCGGAGGAAGATGTCCTCCAGTATCTCGTCGGGGAGGGACGGCTCCCTCCGGGCCGGCGCCATCGCGCCGGCGGGCGGCGCGGGGGGAGAGATGGGGTCGGGCTCGATCGGAGGCTGACTGGGACTGGACAGTGGAGTAGAGTACACTGCGAGAGAAGAAGTCAAACACCGTGGGTGACAGACTGACAGTCACAGTTCGTGCTTTGCTTCGAAAGGAAAACGAGCCGAGGGCAAATCCGTAAATAATAACATGGTTCCAGGCAACATTTTCTTTTCTTTTTCTCAAAAAACAAGGGCTTTAGGTTGTCCCAATGCTAAAAATCATACCTAGTCTTTATGTGTATTAATTTATTTTAGACACTATATGTAGAAACTATATTTTTAATGAATAATTTCTACAGAATAATTTTTTATTCGATCACATGTTCTTTTTTCGTCATTTACCTATTACGTTTCTTCGTATCTTGATTCTAGTGTAGACATGGATTCTTATCAAAACCATTTTCGAATCTTTCTTCTTAAATTGTAGTGCCACATCATAATTTTGTCATTGACACCTTAATTAATAAACATAAAAATCATGTAGTTTCTTGGTTAGGAGTGCCTTTATTAGTTACTCACAAATCGGATTACATTCGATGCAATAATTTGCTCAGTACTCCTATATGCACCAGTAAATTGAAACACGACAAAAATGCCGAATGTTGTGATCGGATTTGTAATGTCTTTGAAAAATAAAGCTACCACGAATAGGATTCGTTATTATGTCTTTTTTTTAAATAAAGCTTCAAAAATATGTTTTAGAAACTATTTCTAAAAATAAATTCAAGGTAAGTTTGAAAAGTATTTAAAAATCTATTTTATGAGGCCCAAAAACTTAAATGGCTTATCTATCTATCTATTCTATTTCTATTCTATGTTATCAAAGAGCGAAGGAATTGAAAATTACCATCCACCCACACGGCCACACCTCTTGTCTGATTCTGATTCTTTGGATGTGTTTTGAAAGTTCAAATTATCGGATCATATTTGTTTGAAATCTAGCAATGGGTGGACTAGGAAAAGCCAACGTCCGAAAGTACCCGGGACATGTGTGTCTGCCACTGCCAATAATCTCTGGGCCGAGAATTGCGCATAGCGCAGATGGCAGAAGCCGGTGGTTGGCTTGCTGCCCGCCAGTGTTCGAACCATGGATTCGACGTTGGTGTCTCACCGGGGTTTTTCCCCAGCACTGCTCAGTCTGTGTCCTGGTTTTTCAGCCGCCTCACACGTAGATGCGCCATAATGGTCAGGGTGACGTGCCCGTCACGTGCGAAGCCTGGCTGACTTTGGATACCTCTCAACCACGTGCAACCTCTTCAGCCTCTTTGTATAGGTGTAGGTCTAGCTTGTGCACTAGGTGTGTGTGCGTGTGTGTGGTGGTGTGAGTTAGTGCGTAAGTTCAGATACTACAACTTATATTTGGAGTGCTGAGGCATCAAAAAAAATCTCTGGGCCAGACACGTTTTTTATTTCCACCCGAGAATCGGGTCACAGTATATATCTTTGGCCCAGACCGAGTGCATGCATAGCCAAGTGGTCATGATTGGTTGCTCTGGTGATGGAGAGCCGTTCCAGGCTGGTGAGATGCATGCTCAAACCGTGCACCCAGTTGTGTTTGGTTGTCTTTATTGTTGGTCCATCAGTACGAGACGAGGTCTTATTTGGTTGCATGCATGCATCAGAGTTTTGGGTGTCTAACACATGAGCCCTGCACCATGCGTGCATCGCACCGTCCTGCATCGTGAGGGAAGTGAGAATCAAGAAGACAAAGCCGTGTGGGATGGTAGAGGGCAAAGGTATGAGACGAAGCAAGCAAACCATGTGAGGAGGGAAACCAAACACAGCAGAGGAACAAGACGAAGCAGACAAAGTTTGCAAGCATGACTTGGTTCGGGCAACCAATCACCCCATAGTGGCTAAGTGCCCAAGTGGCTCAATGCATATGTTGCATACGGGTCTTTGGCTACTATATTAGGGGTTGGTAATTGCTACAACATTTCAAATTGCTCGTTTTGCATATAGCCTCACTTGACTATATAGTTCTACATTACAATGTAATAGATTAGCCTGAGAGAGAATTATAGGCATTTTATAAAAAAAAAAATTTAGTGGATTAGGGATAGTAGTTGCTACTACGTAGTCACTATATTTTCATATACATTTATCTTTTCAATTTCAACCAATATACTATTGATTCATAAGTGTATGCAATATAATTAGTTGTTAATAATTCTCGTATCATATCATGTGAATGTATTAATTCTAAGTTATGACCTTAGTCAATTCAATTTGCTTCCTTATCTTTAAAAGTAATATACGATATTTTAAGAAAATGATTATGATGATTGGTTGATAAAATAATTTAGAAATCATATCTTACTTTAAGTATCCAATAATCTTAAAGTCTTTTTATAATATAATAGGATGCCGCATATCAAGCATAAACACGTGCATTCTGCACAGCATGACTAATAGTAAAATTATTTTGAAAAAGATAGTTAAAACTTTGTTTAAAATGAAAAGCTTAATATCTGTTTTTTTTTCTGAGCGAAGCTTCTCTTTCGGCCTGTAATCCTCTTCCCTTGGGCCTGGCTCGGTTTCTTTCTCTTCACTCCCCTTTCTGTTGGGCTCGGTCCGAGCGGCCCATCAAGCTTAGTAACTCGATCTGCTAAGGAATGTTGCAGTTCCTCAAACAGCTATTCTTGACCGGGTATTGCCCTGGTATTCTATTCGGATATTTTTATCAGACATCAATCCAAACCACGCAAGGACGTCTGAGTCGTTTCACACACCAAATTCAGATAGGAAATCTCAACTACTGCATTTTTTATTCTGCAAAAACACAAACCCAACTCATATAGGCTTTAAAGACGACTTTGTGTTTTTGTTCCATGTTTGTTTTGTCCCAACAAAGCAGAAACTCTAACCCTCAGCCAAAATTCCAAACCAAGAAGGAAATTCATCAGCCCGGGAGCAAGACACAAAACTCCCTCAAGAAAGAAGAAAGGACCAGAAAATCTGTTGTTGTTCTTCATTGATCCTTTTATTTTTTCTACGCTAGTACTATGACCGTGTTTGGTTGAACTTTTGGAACCCAAAAGTCACGTCTGCTTCTGCCCATAAACACTTTCCTTTTGGGACAAAATTTGACCCACTTGCCGCTTGTTAGGAAGAAGCTAGTTCGTTTTTTCTTTTCTTCTCATCCTAGACTCGCGAGACACACTGCACGCGCGGAGCGCTCCCGGCGGCGTGCCGGAGCCGCCTCCGACTCGCTCCTCCTGCCGCGACGCGGCCCCGTGACGAGCTCCTCTGGTCGCGCCGACGAGCTGCCTCCAGTCGCGCGGACGCGGCTCCGATGGCGTGGCCCCGACCAGCAGCACGAGTACCCAGGCTCCAGGCCACGACGACGCATCTCCAGGTGGCGCGCTCCAGGCCGGGCGAGCGCCCTCCCCTGCTGCGGCGCATCTCCAGGCGCATCTCCGATGTCTACATAGTACGATTGAATTGTTTTGAAAACATATATTAAAATATTTTTATTCACTAGTTCTTTATAACAGTGCAAATGGCACAAACTGATTATCGGATCAACCTACTGTATGTAATGCCTGCCAGGTTAATTAGTCCGAATTCACAGATTTCAGACTAAACCCAAAATCTCAGACACTTGGAAGGATGTACTCCTATCACACGAATCAAATCGAAGCTAGGCTCTAGCCTCTCTCTAAGCATTATTATCCATGGACACCAATGAACTTCAAAGGCTTGCACAACTCTACTCAGCATTCAAGATGCCAGCTTACTGCCAATTGGGCAAATGATAGGGATCTCACAAGCACAAAATGCAATCAGTAGAAGATGTTATAGCCATAGCATACAAGTCATGTTACATTAAGTCCACTGGACAACCACCATGAGCACAAATTTAATAGCATACAACAGTTCACAGAGGGGCCCATATGTGCCTGAGTTGAAGATCAATCGGTTCTAGATAACTGCATAACGGGAGACAAAAGAAAAGGTTGGGATCATCACTTTACAGATTACTGCATTAAGGTAGGCGAAACAGATAGGTCCCATCGCTGCCAGAAGCATGGTGGATGTCTTGCTCAATGATCTGAAGATGTTGTCAGGTAACCAAAGATATTGTCATCTGACGTTGCCCTGTCACCTCGATCCAGGTCAATGTGTCAACTGAGCAAACAAAACAAACACATTTTTAGAACCATCAAAAGGAATTCTATCAAAGTAAATTTTGTTAAATGTCTAAAGATGGTCGAACATTGAGTCATCATGCGGTCAAATTGAGAAGAAATGGAGTGTCTATTCTGCTTCTGCTTGAAGATGCAAATTTGAAATTTGTGGGCAACAGATGTGCTTATGAAACAATAAATTCAACCCAACGAATGCCAGCTACTACAATAAAAAACTGTCACAACAAATTTAGTTGTAAACAACAGATGTGCTTATCAAACAAAATCGTTCAGAAGATATTGATTTACACGCCCATGTATCACAAGTTTATACAGGAACTAGAGCAAATAAAAGCATAGATATAGATCCATACACAATTAAAGGCCATGGGTTCACTTAAAGATATACCCATAAAAGTATTCTTATTCATTCTAACAAAGATGGTATGCTAAAGTTCAAGAAGCCTGACCTTACTGAAACCAACATTACAAGTGGAAAACAATGTCGATCAGAATATGCTAGTCTTTTTTTCACTAATATTGAGGATAATCACTATTTCACCCTGTACTTTGGTTAGCTTTCTAAAATACAAACAACATGTACATTACAATATAAATTGCAACCACGCACAACTTTAATGACTTGTCTAGTACGGTAGCAGAAGAGCTATTCAGACACACCAAATATAAATATAAATGCGCCACTAGAACAGGTATGATGACAAAGACCAACAACAACATAAGCAAATTCCAGAACAGTGAAGCAAACAAGGAAAGCTCTCAGCGTTTCATATAGTTGGGAGTGACAACGGTGGTGGGAAGCTTGCAAAA